ACATGACACGGATCACAAACAGAATCTTAGAACAACGAGCGAGAAAGGAACGCTTGTCGAAGCGCGACTTATTATTGTTTCGATCCTATTTTTCTTTTTTTAATAATCTTCAAACTCTTATATTCTTTGTACCTTTGCCTTTCGAACGTTAATATTAATATTACCATCGCGTATGAAACATTTGATAAATTATTGGGAAACGGATTAAACGGCACGAAATCTAAATGCTGACTTTCGATTGACTTTATACACCGTGTATAAAGAATTGCGAAGCGGAATATAGAGGCGGCGGTAGCAGAAATTCTGGGCGCAGATGCTGCCCAAGAACGAAGCTTAAATCGCGAAAAGAGCAGCGGCTGCACGTCGTTGACCTGGGTCTGAAATACGATCGGCGGATATGCTCGGTTTAATCTCCGCCTCAAAACCTTTGAGACTAGCTAGTAGGCACCATTATTCGCAGATTTCGCTGTGCCGCGGCTGCTGGATTTTCGAAATACCCTTGCCTACGGACAAGCAGTGGAAAATCTTCGATAAGAGAAGGGGGGGAAAAGGGGTGAAAATAAAAACTTTACTTACCCATTCGATGAAAGGGTAAATACAAAAATTCGTCGATTGCAGAATTTAATTCTTTTGATCTTTTGATAATTCTTTTGAAGAATATTCTTTCTCCTTCTCAAAATGTAAATGGAAGAGCCAATAAAGAAGATTATAAAATTTGTATCGCTAGAATTGCCAGAAAATTATCTCTGTAGAAATTGAGCCCATTATTTATTTAATTTATATGATACCAATGGAAGAACAAAAAAGAATATTTTAAATAATTTTCAAATGCAAATAGAAGAATGAAGAAACTCGATAATTCTGGTGATCTCTGTGAGTGGAACACAGAAATGTTCTTTAAATGGAAAAATTAATAAAAAAAGAATTGAATCACTACAATTTCGTGAATCGAAAATACGTAATTAGAGTTGTTAGAGAAAAATTGTCTTTATGAAAAGAAAGAGAAAAAGTAGTGGTGATACTAAACTAGCGATGTTATAACTTATATACTGTTAGCAAATGGATATCGAGGAACAAATAACAGATGGGATCCAATAACTAGTTCACTAACAGTACTATTTTCTCCTACTTTTTCCAGACACGGGAATTTTTCTGACAATTCTGCGCACAACATTCACTCAATCTTCATTCCTTCTTATATATAGTATCTGATCATCGAATTAGGAGTTTAGTAAAAGTTTGAAAAATCGTCAAACTTTTCAAGTTCCATAACTTTGTTAGAATCGGTCGAAAACTGATGGAGCAAGAGACAAATTAAACCTCGACTCTTCTACTTTTCGACTAATATAATTTTCTTATTTCTTAGTTATGAAATATTATCGAACTTTAACTTTTTCGTTTTACCAAATATACTTATGCGTTCAAATAAATAATCACGTATTACGCGACTGCAACAGAAATTCATAGAATCAATAATATTCGCAAAATTTCTTTCAATCATTCTTCCAATGCCACACATTCATTAATTCCTCACAGAGAATATCACGTCGCAACAAAATTCGTTTACACGAACAATAATTTAAAATCGATTGTATGAGGTAGCTAAAATGGCTCACAATCGAGTTCCGTTTGAGAGAATACGAGAATATATATATGTGTTCACAGACTCCGTGCGGAAGATCGAAGATGGAGAAGAAATCGTGGAGAGTCTTTATTCGTTCGAGGAATCGAGAATAGAGACTTCAAGAGGTGCTCTTGAACACGTGACAAGACGTGACATTGTACCGAGTTCCGTCTTCTTTTGCCCGATCTATCATTCAACGTGTTCCTCATTAGACTGCACACACCTTACAATTCGTAGAAATTAGAAAATTCTAGAATCGAGATCTTAGAAGTGCGGAATAACAGTTCGAGAAAGTCCCAGTTTCAAATTCACAAGGAATATTGCTGGAAGAAACTTTCAACTATATTTTGAGATTAATTTTGAGAATAAAACGGTGATGATAATTGTCGTAGAATCGAAGGTGGAAAGTTGTTTGGAAATCCTATTTGGAAAATTATAGGAATCTCGATGTTCGTTCGAGAGAAATTGAGGAAAAAATTTTTGAATCTGTCAATTTTAAAGTCAGAAGATCAAGAATTTACAGCGACAGCTCACTATTATTTCTCGCTTGTTTCTTGAATAAATATGGAAGATTTGCAAGATTAATATCTTTATATACTCATCTTCGTGTTTCACAATTTCTTTCCACTTCTTTTTAATAAGACAAATTAGTCTTTCGATTCTTGCCTTGATCACAATGCAATACTTTCTCACGTAAAATAATTGTTGAACAAGAAATCCAAGCCGAGAATAATAAAACTCATCTTAAAATCCCGTTGCACAGAAACACGGATTTTCTAATAAACCGAGCCAGCATCGAAATCCACAAGTTTCAGTTATCGACTCTTGGGCCGATAACCGGCCACCGTCGTTTCATCCTGCACGTATGCGTATAACCGTAAAAATGTAAAAATGCCCGACGGCCGAGGGCAGATAACGTTTATGCGAAACAAACGGTTTTGCACAAGCTTCATCTCTGGCCATGCGGATGGGATGCGCATTTGCATGCATACAACCGCGCCGTGGCAACAATGTTGTTCGCTTGTTCTCGAGACCCTTACAACCGCCTCTATGGGAAAACACGTATCTTCGCCGACAGCCTCCTCTTCTCTTGCCTCCGTTTAAAGAGCGGACGATAGGCCTTGTAAACGGAAGGAAACGGAAGGAAGATGAACGTGAATGGGGGAACCAAAGTGTTGGCGAATATCTCCGGACAATAACTTCGAATGTGACACCGTTTCGTTTCGAGAGATTTCTCGCACGAGTCGGGTTTAACCTCGTTTGCGAGCGTTGATGGGAGTTGATAGGGGGGAGTCGAGGAAATGTGTCTCTTTTTTTTTATGAAGACAATCTGGTGAAATCGCGTTTCCTTGAGTTTTTTCCGAAGTGAAGAACGATAAGATAATGTTCGAATGTGAGATGATTTGGGGTTAAAGGGAAAGGTTTGAAATTGAGGAGGATTGAGAGACGTTGAATGTATTAATCTATGGTAGATGATTTTGGATGATACAATAGTGTCTTGGATTTTTTCAAATTGATGAATAATTTATTTACGATGAAAATCTAAAATCGATGAGATATCTAGGATTGAGGAAGTTTGTTCAATATTTTTAAGTTGGAAATTGATGAGATTTGAAGAGGATATCTTTATCTTGATCGGTGACGGAAATAACGGAACGTTGAATTTTTCTTTTTCCTTTATCTGAAGAGTGATAAGAATCTGTATTATCGGGGAGTAAAGGTTACAGAAGAGTCGAGAGAAAAGTCACGGCTATAAAGAAATGGCTAAAATCGAACAAGTATCTGCTGGCTTGTAGCCACTGAACCAACAACCTTGTAGAGATAATCGTCAGAAGTTTGACTGACTAAACAGGTTCGAACGGCATTGTCAAGGATTTTTAAGAACAAATAACATATCATCGTAAACATGCACATTCATTTTATATACAGAATCTCTCCGATCTAATTAATTTCCCTTATTAATGATCCTTATTATCGATCAATTATTTTCTTTTCAAAGAACATTCAAAGCAATGAAATTTTTCTGTCCTTTCTTTATACCAATGGAGGAATATCAAAATCACTCGAGAATTTAAAAAAGAAAATATACATTGCGTAAAAAAAAAATAAAAAGAGACGTAATTGAAATTTACTTCTCTGAATATATTTAAATTTCAATTTTCAAAAAAAAAAAAAAACGTAGAAGAAAACTGCAACGTAGAAGAAAAGCACAACAATGCAGGAAGGGAAATTCGAAAAAAAAAATCTATTATTGTCGAAGGGAAATCGAATCGAAAATGGACAGGGCGCATCGATCCCGAGAACCCGATCATCCGTTTACGGAACGATGGACGATCCGGTAGAAAGAAAAAGAGTAAATCCATTGATCTGATTTTCCACGGGGACTGGGTTTACGCGAGGGACAGCGATGAAAACGGCACAGCTGACGGATTACCAGGTAAATAATGAATTTCGCCGTGGATCTTTCTGAAAGCCTATTCACGCGAATCACGAAGTTTTATCGCCTTTCTCTATTGATACGTTGCCAGTTACGTTGGAAGAATAAAATAAAAATCACGAGCAACATCTGCTCGATTCGGGAAGAAGCGAAACGGACTTACGACGTCGTAAAGCAAGACGCGTGTCGATCAGCTATAAATACGTGAAATAGGATTGTACGTTTTTTCAATTTTCGATATAACGCGATATAACGCCTCGATAAGCTTATTTCGAAGACGAACGGTCTTGAGAAAGGGTTATATCGAACTGTCTTCGAATAGAAATTTGTTGATTTTTTAACGGTATTATATTTGTGCCATTTTGAATTCTGAAGAAATTGCACGGTCATGACCAACGGTTTAAAAAAGGAAGAAATTGTCGAGGAGATAAAATTTTCACGTAAATGATATTATAAGCTAAACCAGACTAGGCTAACTGATAACGTGTATTTGAGAGTCGATGAAGGGGAGGCTCTAATAATGCCATGAGTAAACCCATTATCTCTGATCAGGTTATAGTATAATGCTATCGTGATCCATTCTTTATTACCTCGTCTGATAAGAAAGTATTTTCAGACTGATTTTAATATCGTCTTTACCTCACCTCTTTTTAGCATTTTAAATTTTGTCGCATGTTAATATGATAAACAGCAATGAACGAGTCGATATTAAATTTGAATGAACTTTAAAAAATACAAAACTAAGGAAAATTATATTGGAGAAAATAGATATAAATATATTTTACGAATAAACGTTTCCTCGTATAAATATAAATCGTTATTCCATAATTGTTAAATGGAAATATTCTATTTTTGCAATAGATATATACGTTTTGATTTATATCAAATTTTCTCCAACTCTTAATGCAAATGGAATGAGATTTTAAAATCATCACTCACCCTTCTTCGACGCGTGAAACGAGTCATCTTTTGGCACGTATTGTATGTCGTATTCCAGCGTGGTTTTCGGCAGTATGAGCCTCTCCTTGTTGATCTTGTACACGGCATACTTGAAGGCCAACTCCGTACTGCTATCCTTTTGGTCATGAGTGAATATAGCACCTGAAACAATCGACGATAAACAGATCAGAGACGACGATTAACCAAGTGCTTGGTTAAATATGATTTTCGCGATCGTTGCGGAAAATTTCCCGATCAAAATTCACTCTTTTCGCGCTAATATACTTAGAAACCTGCTTACCCCGCTATTCCTTTCCAACCAAGGACAAGTGCTCTCCTCTACATCATATCTAAAGCACGATCTTTCTCCCATCTCTAATATCAATCCTCCCCAAATACTAATCCAAACAACAACGATTCTCTGAAAATATATCTACCACTTCTTCCTACCTCTTCCTCCCAGATCCCAAGATCTTAAAATATAAATCCTCGCATGATTTTTTATCCCCATTTATTTATTCAATTTTTCAATTTTTTACACGGCCGCAGAGTGGAAGATGCTTCGATGCGATTACTCGACACGGTCAATTTGCATACCGAGGGGCCATCGTACACCTAATGGATTCTTCGAGTTCTCTCGATGGTCGAGAGGCGAGGCAAACTCGTTTGTTAATTGCTGATCGATGCTTTCAAACCGAGCCAGGCCGCGTGTAGGGCCTGTGTCAAGGATTCACGTGTATATAAATGCACGCGTATTTCGCTTCCAGCTAGAGAAGACTCGTTTAACAATCTAGCCGAGCACGTGTCTTGTTGTATCTTTCTTTCCGTGAAGCGAAATTAATTCCAGCCAGGGAAGCAAGGAGAAATAAGGTTGGAGTGTTAAGCGTCAAAGTCGATTCACCTGTTCGAGAATCGAACAAAGGCGAACTCGGTCGGGACTTTCCGTCGAATGAAAACAGAATTTCCAGGTGAATTTGAGAGACATCTGAAATTTTATTTCTCTATTGTCAACATTCTCGCGACAGAGAAATCTAGGCGAGCTGACTTCTTTGAGAAACTGTCTTTTGAAAATAATTTTCAATTTTTTCGATGGAGAATAACAGAGAAATATTTAAAGGGAATTTGTGTTAACTCGAAGAAGAAAGCTATGTTTCATGTTGATGCATTTTAATTCGATTCATTTCCTTAATTGGATCCAAATAAAAAATTATGTAAGAACAAAATTATGTTTATCAAGATAGTGAGATTTTACGAGAAGATTTGTTGTCGAAAATTGATGATTATTCCAAAAATTCTAAGAATTATTCAAGACTAAAAATATCCATAAAAATATCCATAAAATACACAGAGGTATAATCTATACATCCAAGTTTGTAACAAAGAAACGAAGCAATATTTTCAACTCTCCCAAGTTGCCTATTTCTATTCCACTAAGGATATATATCAGAAAATAATTCATAAAAGATTAGAATCTTTTGAATGGTTACAATTCCTAAAGATGAACTCTATTTCATCCCTCGCGCCGTTTCCAAACCAAACCCACCCCTTTTACGTTACCCCTCCTTCCCTGTTATTTATAGGATCTCGAGAATCCGGGACAGCCGCCATTCGTTCCCGTTTTATCTGTTCGCATAATTAATTAGGCGGGACACGAGCATTAATCGGTAGTTGTAGAGGTATCCCCGTCCCTTTGTCCGTTGAAAAATAGCCGTGTCCAGTGCAACGGGGAAGTTTATCAATTGCCATTCCAAGGGTGTTCCTTCAGGGATGTGGTTATCTGAAAAATCCGCAACCACACGACAGTGACAAAAGAGGGGGTAAGTAATCGGAATATCACCGCTTTCACCGCTTTTTCCAGTCGACCAGCACCCCATTCATCCCTTCCAACGTTAATTTGAGCAAACCAGAGGCCCTGTATCGCAAACAGTGTCGTGGCTTCGAGTCAGGCGCACGCACACACGGATTTCCACAGAATTCGCTTTCTACGAGTCCGATTACCCTTCGAGCAAGTTTATACGACCGGAAGGTGAATCATGGACGGGCAAAGAGACTTGCAGATGTCCTTCTATTCTGGCCTATCCTTCTGGTTCCTCGTGAAAGAAACTTCTATTTTTTACCCACGCTTTTATCTCAGGCTTAAGGAGAGGATGACCTCTATTAAAAATCGAGGTCATCCTAGAGGTTATTGCCGGAGGGATCGCACAACTCCTTTCCAATTTTTCCTTTTGCAATTTTCTTTTCAAACCTTCAATTTGTTCGTCCTTGGACGGATATCGTCGAGGGAAAACCTTCTACTCGGGGCTATATAATTTATTCTCCCACTATTACACTTTACAATTTTCATCTTTCCCCTAAACTTTTTACTCGCCCCTCCTCCGAAATAGAGTATCCTTCTTTCAAAATATATTCGCGATATATTAAAAAAAAAAAAAAAAAAAAAAGCGTAGAAATGCGTTATTCGAAAGAAAAGTCGCGATATAAAGAAAAATCGTGGAAATCGAGTAACCGGCGCGGAAAGAAAAAAGAACACTGCGAGCTCGCTCCAGTCTCCATCCCTCGCCATCCCTCCTTCTTCATTCTCTCGACCCCCTTTAACTCGTTCAAGCGTCGCCAACTCTTTCACGTAGTTTTGTTTCGTTTGTCGCTCGACTAATCCATTTATCGACGAATAAACTCGACTCCTTCATCGACTCGACGTTTATCCTTCGACCTGTTTCGCGTCGAGGCGTAAACTTGTTTCGTCTACAAGGGGTGATAAATACACC